CATCAACTGGCTAATATTTGGATGGACCATTAAATAGAACCAGGAAAGGGATACAGATACTAGGAGTCCTCAGTCCTACGACCACAAATGAGCCCAAAATGTATGCTGACAAACTTTTATTCATGAATATTCATCAACTGGCTAATATTTGGATGGACCATTAAATAGAACCAGGAAAGGGATACAGATACTAGGAGTCCTCAGTCCTACGACCACAAATGAGCCCAAAATGTATGCTGACAAACTTTTATTCATGAATATTCATCAACTGGCTAATATTTGGATGGACCATTAAATAGAACCAGGAAATGGATACAGATACTAGGAGTCCTCAGTCCTACGACCACAAATGAGCCCAAAATGTATGCTGTTAAGTGAGAAATTTGTTAAGTGCGTTTTGCCCCACTTTACGACTTTCCTTGCCATGTTTGTTAAGTGAATCACTGCATTTGTTAAATTAGTAACACGGTTGTTACGTGAATCTGGCTTCCCTATTGACTTTCCTCATCAGAAGGGCGCAAAAGGAGGGGGGTCGCCTGGCCCCGGGGACACTGCAACCGTCCTAAATGGCAGTCAGAATATAAATCACGTGACCACGGGGATGCTACATGGGTGATAAGTATGAAAAAAGTTCACAAGTCACTTTTTTCAACGCCGTTGTAACTTTGAACGGTCACTAAGCGGACTGTTGTAAGTCAAGGACTCCCTGTGCTTTAGTAATTTTCATTCCAGAGGACCAAGAGACAGAGAAGGTTAGACAGTTTGGTTGGGGGAAAGAGAGTTAAGGTGGCGTCTCCTTAGAAATTCTCAGAGTAATGTCCTGAATGAAGCAAATTGTTTGCTTTAGTTTGGCAAGATTCTGTCTGTAGGTCGGCTTAGAAGAAATGTGTCTTTCTTGTTTCTTGACATATTGCTTCATTGAAGATATATTTAGATTGTTTCCTGACAAATGATTTACAGGTAGTCCTTGACTTACGACCACTATGGAGCCCTTTTGTCATTAAGTGAGACATTTGTTAAGTGAGTCCCCCCTTTTACGACTTTCCTGGCCACCGTTGTTAAGGGAATCACTGCAGTTGATAAGTCAGCATCCCGGATGTTAAGTGAATCTGACTTCCCCATTGACTTTGCTTGTCAGAAGGTCGCAAAAGTGGATCACATGACCTTGGGACACAGCAACAGTCACAAATGTGAACCAGTTGCTGAGCGTGTGAATTTTGATCACATGATCGTGGGGATGTTGCAAAGATCGTAACTGTGACAAACGATCATGTCCCTTTTTTCAGTGGTGTTGTAACTTTGAACGGTCATGAAGTGAACTGTTGTAATTCGAGGACTACCCGTACAGTCAACTAGCATGGAAATGGTAAAGGTTTTCCGTGACTAGTCATGCCTGGCTCTTGGGGGCAGCGATCATCTGTGAGGGAGCCAGCGTTGTCCAAAGACACTTCCAGAGTCACATGGCCAGTATGACTAGATGACAAGACGCGTGGAACGCTGTTATCTTCCCTCTGAAGTGGTACCTATTTATCTACTCGCAGTCGCATGCTTTCGAACTGCTAGGTGGGCAGGAGCTTCAGTGGTGGGTTCCTACCGGTTTGGACTGATTCAGCCGAACTGGTAGTAGCTTGGTGGCCTGGGCCGCTGGAACCAGCAGCAACCCAGGCCTGCCACGCCCCCCCCCTGAACTGGTTCTCATGGCGCCATCTTGTTTTTTGCTTCTGCGCACGCGCCGAGCAATTTTTAACCCACTCCCTGAGGAGTTTCTAGCATTCTGTTCTGACCCAGCTCTCCAAACACAACAAACCCTCTGAACTTAACGCAAAGATTCCTGTATTAGGAGCGCCAGCAGCCCCGGCAAAAAGTTCCTCTCTCAACGAGACTAACAAGGTTGTCCGACAGGGAGATGAATGGTTGTCTGCCACATCAATTCATTTCCGCCCCCTGCCTTTTATCCCCAGAGCTAGGTTGAGACTTTGCTAGCAGCGGTGGCTCTTCGGTCCCAAGGACCGGCTCATAGATTTTCACTGTTCTCCTCTCCTCTGCCTTCTGCGCATCAGGCAGTGGATCCAGCTGTTCCTCCTCTTCCTCATCAGCCACTTCCAGATCTGGGGGCTGTTGACTCTCCATCTGAGGACTGACAGACAGCCCAGGCTCCACCTCTGTCTGTCTCTCTGCCAGCTCCATTCCCTCTCCCCCCTGGGAGCTCTCAGGTTGCCTTGATGCTGACCCTGACTCCCACACCACCACCACCACCACCACCACCACCACCACC